CCCCACTGAGTTTCCAAGGCTGTGAATCTTTGCAGAAGTAAATTGTGTCATCTTCTGCCTGAACCACCTACCTTTTGGTTAGCCACCCAATATTTTAACCACAATGCCACTAGATCTCCTTATTAAATAACTACAAAAAAAAAAAACCAAAAAACAAAAACCCTTCACTGCCATCAAGTCAATTCCAACTCATAGCGACCCTCCCTTGTGTTTCTAAGGAGGTATCTCTATGGAAGTAAATTGCCCAACCTCCCTTCTGAGGAGTGGCTGACCAGAAGGCTGGTGGTTCAAACTCATTAGCCACTCCTCGGAAGGCACTATGCCACCAGAGCCTTGTCAAAATTTCTCTAGCATCCAAGCAAGCAAGAAAGGACTTGAGCTACAGAAAATGTCCTCCTCAAGCAGCTGTCACTCTTGAGAGTGAGTGAGCTGTGGGAGCAGGACACAGAGAGGCAAATGCCCTGAGGGTAGGCTTAACTCTGATGGTCCAGGACCCTAAATCTGCAATGAAGGCTGCCGGTAGAAGAGGTAGAGCCAGACCCAAGATCTAAGCAATAAGTAGAACTGGGAACCTAGAGTAGAAGCAGGAGTAGGAAATAGCCAGCGTCCAAAGCAGACCAGCAACAGCACCTAGCAGCTTATGAGAATTGCAGAATCTCAGACCCCACAGAGAGATCTTGAATCAGAATCAAAACCAAGCTCCCAGATAATTCCTGTGTACCTTAAAGTTCAAAAAGTACAGGAATAAGCTACTTAAATTTTTAAGAATATATCTTAAGAAGACTCTCAAGGATCACAGGAGAAAAGCACTTGAGGCCACATGCCACTTTTAAGATTCTGCTCCCTAAAAATAAAGGTCCTTTTTCCTTGCTTATCATTCAATAAGCTAAGAAAATCATATGTAAAATTATGTTTTCAATGGGCTCGGCACCACAAAATATCCCAACAGGCAGCACTCACACCACAGCTCTGGCCTGTTGAAGAAGTCCCTCTCCTACCAAAGAATCCCAGCTTTTACTTGTTTTATGATCAGGGCCTCTGTATAAGTTTGCATTTGAAGAAATGGTTCTATGGGTCTAAAAATTTGGAGGTTCTGCAGAGCGTAAGATAGGTAAATTAAAAGACAATTTTAAAGGCAGTTAAAAGAGTTTACAAGGGAAATAAAAATTCAAATGAAAAAGGAGTTAAAATAAAGAAGTGATAAAAAGAAGTCAAAATAAAGGTTAAAGTTGGTTATATAAGTATGTTCAGTTTGTAAAAATGTGTCAAGCTTCTCTTTAGAGGCACCCAGCACTGGCCTGCCAGCCTCTGTCTAAAGTCTGCTTCTCACTTCTGGGTCCACTGCTTAGCTCTAAGTCTGCTGCTTGGCTTTCCCTGGCCGAACTCTTGTCTGATCTCTGCATGTCCAGTTATCAATAGCCTCCAAACCCTAAGAACTTCTGGTCATTGAGTATTACTTTTAGAAAGGTTTTCAAAAGACCCACCAGTTTCTCTCTCTCGCTCTCTCTGTGTGTGTTGATGTATTTATTTATATTTTTACCATATCATTAGCCCTGTTATGCCACACATGACCTGGACTTGACTTTTAGCTCTGGACAAATGGTATGTCCGATTAAACTCTGTTTTATTCCTACTCTATAGGTAACCAGTGGTTATCTCTCTGAGTGGTCCAAACAGTGAAATGCTCAACTGCTAGCCAAAAGGTTGGCAGTTCAAACCCACCCAGAGGCACCTTAGAAGACAGGACTGGCTATCTGTTTCTGAAAAATCAGGGCATTGAAAATCCTATGGAGCAGTTCTACTCTGCATACATGGGGTCACTATAAGTTGGAATTGACTTGACAACAACTACCAACAACCAGAGACTGATACTGTAATTTATTCCTCTCCCTTTTTTGTGCAAGTCTTTCAAGGAGTTTCTACATGGGTGATAATAGAAACCTAAATGACCTAATATCATTCTCTCCTGATGTTTTCAGCTGCAGATGGAACTAGAACAAGAGTACCAAGACAAGTTCAAAAGGCTGCCCCTGGAGATTTTGGAGTTTGTGCAGGAAGCCATGAAAGGGAAGATCAGTGAAGACAGCAATCACAGCTCTGCCCCTCCCTCCCAGGCCACAGACATTGGAAAACTCAACCACAAGCCTCCCTCCAGTGAGGAGTTAGAAGGAGACAACCAAGGAAAAGAGTTTGATACTCCTCTGTGATTGTTTCTGCCAGGTCTTCAGAACACGCGTGGCCACTCAAGCTCCATCGGACTCACTCCTATTACTAAGATCACTGCCCAGGAGCATCTTCCTGAGATGCATCCCTTAGCCTAAAGTCCATCCCAAAGGGAGTGTTCTAGAAGGATCCACATGCAATTCCCCATGGCCAGGCTCCATGTGTTACATTGAAACTGCTGCAGATCTACTAGTGGAGAGTGCATGTGTATGGGATTTTTTTTTTTTTTTCTTTCCAATAGTAAATTCAAAGCAGGCAACTTCAAGGCTCCATGGAAGATTTAATGAAGGACAATGTCTTCTTTGAAGAAAATCAGGCTCGTGTTTTTATTTGAACCTCTGGTGTAAAGTATTGCAAAGTAATAGAAATAGTTTGAGAAATGCATAGCACTATTTAACACTATTGAACAGACAACTCTGAGCATTTTTTTTTTTTTTTTCTATCTGCCCCTCAACTACCATAGCTTCATATTAACATGCATACTAGATTGTCTCATCCTGTGCTTTGCAAGCACTGGTGGCTTGCAGTTTGCTAATTTATTTATCATAGAGGCATCAGTATATTTGTTGCTGACCTGGCTTTATTAGATACTGTAATGACTCAAATAAGCTGGTTTTCTTTAAAAAAAAAAAAAAAAAAACAATCAGTTGATTGTACCCATGCCCAGTAAAGCCATCCCAGGACTTGGCAATGTGGCTTGTAAATTTGGCTGCATGGACAAGTTGGCTGCTCACATGCAGGCAGTATGTTATCTGAGTTGACTATTTGGCCTCAAAGTCTGGGAACTCTGGGTATTGGCCTGAGATGATCAAATACCTACAAAGGGTCTGCTGTGTTGAATAAAAACAGTTGAGCTGATGTATGTTAAGCAGAGATTCAATCAGAGCAAAAAGGCTCCAGTGGTTATTTTGCTGTCTGACACTTTTTATGCTCCATTTATTTTTAATATAGAGAAGAAGACTGAATATTTATCTAAAGAATACACAGACCCACATATAAATGATAAATATTGTCTTCATGTATACATGTATGCATTCAGCCATATAAGTGCATACGCACATGCAAGTGTAATTGTGTGTTTACTGATTGGCAGGGACCCAATCTCATCCACACAACTTAAAAACCAAATTCAGGGATAAATGGGTAGAGAAGAAAAGGGTCAAACATCTAGATTAAAAGAGATTAAATTTATTGAAATACTAAGAAATAATTGATGGAGCCAACAATACAAGTTGAGGTATATTTAGAATTTAGAACATGAATTTTATATATATTTTGCAGGATCAAAAATTTAATTTTAAGAATCAGTTTGTAAGCTTGTTTTAATGGTCAGAATGCACAAAATATATATAGGACAGCAATATGAAAATTTATTAGTATAGTCCATAATTTTTATGTCTGCCAGATTTCATTTTTATTCTAACATACAAAAATATTTCATTATATATTTACTATGTACATTTAATTCACTTATTTGTGTCTGTTCATTAAGATCCTATTTTAAGTGGCATAAGAGAAACAAATTATGATAACACTGATAAAAAATGTTATTGCAAGGTCTTTAAGTAAGAGAGGAAAATTGCATCTGAAAAAATGGCATTTAGGAAATAACAGAGAACATTAAAACTTGGAAATAAGATGCTCACAGCTTTATTTCACATCAATACAAACCTGTCTCATAGTAGCTGAGCAAAATATTTTAAGACTTAAAATGCAATTGTGTCCTGAAAATTGTGTTTCAAGAATTAAATATTTGTATGGCAATTATTTTATTTAACTTTAAGCAATAACTAGGGATCACAATTAAGTTTTAATCAAAATGAAAGTAGAATTCAAACATTAGGAAAGACTATTTGATTAAAAAACACACACACACACACATTTGGTGAGACACAGGGGGAAAATCAGATCCTCTTTGGAGATGATGATATTTTGATTTGAAAGGTTTAGGGTGTTAATTAGACACTTAATAAAACATAACTTCCACTGAAAGAGGAATCTTTAGGAAATCATTCTACTTTTTCACTTTGGAAGAAAGGCATTAATCAGAGGGAAGCAAGAATGGTCAGAATTGAATGCTGCATTTTATAAACAAAATTACAGACTGTCAAAAATTGCAGAAGAAAGAACTAACAATAGCATTCATAACCAAACACAATGCTGATTATTACAGAACATTACTGTATCACATTTTATTCCAGATATAGACTAAGGTTAATAACCTTGATTTATACAAAACTGTTTTGGTAGTTGGATTTCATTATCTTAGTAACTCTAGTCATTTTACAGTATGTTTGTATTTGGCCATTTACTGTAATCACATTTTTATATCTATACAATGACACTTTTTGCAGTTGTGGGGTAGTGTGTAACACTGTCCATCTTGCATCATTGAAACTACTACAGTGATACTATCATTTAATAATATTAATATTACTTGAAATAGACTAAGATAAAGAAAAGGGGTCTCTAATATGTGCAGTTTTGTGCCTTTATGTATTTGCCTTGTTCTTTGTTGAATGTGTGAAATTCTGTACTGTGGTTTTTTCCTATAATAGAGAGTAGAGCTGTGTATTAAATTAGACTGGTCCCCTCTGATACCTTTACACTACTGAGAACAGCATGGTTTGGGCCGTGTAAACCGATTTTTAGAGTTCTAATGACATGCCATATTATATATATTTTTTAACATTTTCATTGTCACCATACATTAAGTAATACTCCTGTAGTAGATAAAGCAGTCATTAAATAATTCTGAAAGAAAGGGCCATTGCTTGCTTTACTTTGAATTTAATGTTGTGCTTGTGCACTGTATTAATATTGTTTGTGATGGATAGGACATTGTGACTTTTACCTTTTAAGAAAAAAAAAAAAGATAGAACAAAATATTTGAAGCTCTTAAAATGTACATATTTTGGTTCTTCTATCTCAAATTATTTAAAACGCATAATTCACATTTTTGTAATAATTCTATGCAATTTTGTGGCATGATGTTTCTTCCACTTGTAATTTTATGTGCTTTCATCACAAATCCAAAGGAAACAATAAAAATTTCTTAACACAACAAGCTGTTTTCTCTTGGTCTCAGAGCCAACCTTCTTTTGATGGGGCAGGAGTGTGAGAACAGACCTAATGCCAGTCTTTAGGGTCTAATGCCACCCTCATTGAGCCTATCTGTGCCTGTATAGGAAACTGGATGGGCTGCAATACTGTGCCAGAGGATAGTTTTAATTACTAGGTCATCCCACCACCCTCGATCCAGGAGTGGCATGGAACTTGCCCATTATTCTTATAATGCACACCCTCCATTCCTCTCTTCCTCCCTTGACCAAAGCTAAGAAAGGCAAAACTGTCTGGTTTTCAGAGGCTTTTTGACAAGCCGTGGAAATAACAAGGCTTTAAAGAGTACCTGATATTAATTCTTATAAAACATTTTTAAAAACTGAAACACTCATAGTAGAAGAAAAAAATACATGTAATTTCTATGAGAATGACCTATGAGCACTCCAAATGTAGTGTATTGGTTATCCATTGCTGTGTAATGAATTACTCCAAAACCTAATGGTTGAAGACAATAAAAAGTCTTTCTTATCTCAGTTTCTGTGGGGCAAGAATTCAGACAAGGCACAGTGGAGATGTGACTCTTATCTCTGCTCCATGGTGTCTGAGGCCTCAGGTGGATGATTAGAAGTCTAAAGCTAGAATCATCTGAAGGCTAATTTACTTGCATGCCTGGTGGTTGGTAAGGAGCCGTCACTGACAGACTAGGGGTGCCTCTGGGCTGGAACACCCACAAGCACTTTTCATGTGGCCTGGGCTTTCTCACAATATGGTAGCTGGATTTCAAGAGTGAGCCTCCTGAAAAAGAACCAGGCAGAATCTGTGTCAAATTTTTATAAGCAAGCCTTGGAAATTACATACCATCACTTATGCCATCCTCCGTTCATTGGTGCTTTCACAAACCCCCTTACACAATCAAGTGAAGTAATCAAACACAGTTCAACTCACTGTGAGAGCAGTGTTAGTCACACTTTAAGAAGAACATGAAGGATGGAGTAAATACATAGACATGTCCACCTTTGGAAAATATAACCAGCCACATAATTGTATGCACCAAACTGAAGTTTTAGTTTCACCCGAATCTATACATCCTCTTGTTTTCTACACTAGTGAACAGAACCAGTATCTATCCAGTCACCCAAGTTCCCTCTCCCTCAATCTCATTCCAATGAATCACCAGGTTGGATCAATTCAACCACCTTGATCCCCCTGGTAATGCATAGATTTATTCACTTCCTATCCTCTCTTCCAGTACCTAAGTTCAGACCACCATGCCTTTTAAGTGTCAAGGTTCTCCCAAATGGTCTCCATGTCTTTGATCCTACTTCACTTAGCCCTTTTTCCATACACTAGCTAGATTGATCATTCAAAAGCAAAAGTTGGATCACGTAACCAACTTGAAAGCCTTTAATTGACCCCAAATATCCTCAGGATAAAGTCTAAACCTTTTCAAAATTATTTAATCTTATGTGGTTCCTATATAACATTCTAACAGCATTCCTCTTAGCATTTCTCTTACATATCACATTCCAACCTTAGGGAGTGTCTCACCTACTGGGCTTTAAATACTCAGCTACTTATGCCCTTCCTTTCTGTTTCTCTTTCCCTTGGACCCCTCCCCAAAATACACACACACACACACACACACACACACACATACTCCTTCTTTCCCTAACTAAGTCTCATTCATATTTCAGGGTATAGCATGATGTCATTTGTTCTAGGAAGCCATTTTTAATCCAACCAAGCTTCTGTTAGTTCCCCTCATCTTTACTCCCTTTGTATCCTGTATCAGATAGCTAGTGCTGCATAACAAATAACACTAGGCTTACTGTTTTAAAACAGCCACCATATACCATTGACCAGGAGTGTATGGATCAGCTGATGGCTATGCTAATCCATTGGCTTGACTGATTTCAGCCAGGGTCATCCA